CAGGGTCGTTGCAATATGCGTTTTTGCTGCCTGCTGCAGCGCTCTAGCGCTGCACGGCAAAAACGCCTAGCTAGGAATAGAGTTGTAAAACCGCTACTTAGAGTTACTTTAACTTTATTTATGAAGAGACCTGTGCTTTTATAACACTGGTGCCTGTGCCATAGGGGGATAAACTCTTCGCTCCTCCCGCCCTTGGATTCGCCTATGATATGCGTGCAATTAAATATGCCGCACAAAAAGCTAAAGCTGTCTCAAAATGTACAGGAATCAACAAGTACTGAATTGGCCAGTGGTGGAGCTCGACTTGACTCCAACTAGATCGAGATGTTTTTGAATTTTTTTAAGCCAGATGGACATAATTTTGTGCGAAAAAGTGAGAAATATAGAAAAACAAGGAAAGGGATGGAAGGTCAGCTATCGGAACCCAGCTTGACTCGGTTTTAGGTCAAGCTACTTCAGATAGCTTAATTAGACTTTATTAAAGAAAGTGGGCATGTGTCTTGGCAAAAATGTGCCAATTTTGACAAAATAAAGAAGCAGGTCAAGAGTCAAATTACCAGAGCCGGCTTTAGCTAAAGTTGGTTAAAAAGGTTTGCCGGGTTTTAAAGGGACGTAATTTCTAGCAAAAAAATACTAAATTTAGCAAATGTAAGGGAATGGGTCGAGAGTCGAGTTACTAGGATATGGCAAAGCTCCACTTTCGCAGCAGCTAACTCAAAAAGCTTGATTAAATTTAAATTAGGGAATGAGTATGATTTTTTGTGAAAAAATAAAGTGCTGGGTTTAATTAGAAGTTACAAGTTGACCAAAAAGTGTCATAGATTTAGAATAAAAAAGCAGCAGTCAAAGCTACTAGAACATAGGTTTGACCGTGCTGTATGCATTCCTGCGCTGACTGCACACTCCTGCGTTTTTATGCGTTTTTTGCAGCTATGCAATGCAAAAACGCATATTGTCGAGGGGTTGTCTGTGTGTATGTATGTATGTATGTGTGTGTGTCTGTGTGTGCGTCTGTGACGAGTTTTCATCTCGAGATCCATAAAAGCTACAAGGCTAAAACTTTGGTAACTTAATCTACATATACGTGCGGGCTCCTATCCTCAAAATGGCCAAGTGCCACTCCAGAACCGCGTTACCCAACCCTCACGCATGTCTAGGCCCCGCATACGGAAGCGTGAAAGTTTTGGCGGGAAAATTGCTAGATCGGGGACCGTAAAAACTGGAAAGCTGAATTTTTTTCGGTTGTTTTCCTCAGACGCTCCCAGCGCATGCACAACTTGAATTTATAAAATTCAACCTCCAGGCATACGTGATTATCACGTACGGCCCCGTGTAATTTTTGGCGGGAAAATGGTTAACTCGGGAATCAGGAAAGCTGGGAGGCTGAAATTTTCAGGGAGTTCCCTGCCTTCCGTAAAAGTTAAAGATATTAAATTCAGCTCCCAGATACGTGTAGTTCTTGCGTACGGACGCATGGAACTTTTTGGCAGGAAATTTGCTAACTCAAGAACCAGAAAAGTTGGAAAGCTGAAATTTTAATTTGGAATGTTCCCTGTCCAGTTAACTTCCCGAACTTCGAGGGCCATTATGTCACACATTCTAGCTGCTAGATTTCCGGGCGATCTCATTATAGTACGAAATACTGCAAAAACGCATAGTCGCACGGGCCCGCCCCGTGCGTATCGCCAGTGACTGCACTAAACCTGAAGCTGTCAGGTCGCTAACTGTATGAATGATTGCTATTTTACATTTGCCTTGTGCGCTCTTTAGCGTAAATCATAGTAAAGAATCTAGGCTGGAACACACCAGGGAGCCGGTGCGATTATGCGTTTTTGCACTAAGCTTGGATCATTCAGGTCGTTAATTACATGAGTGATTCTAGTTTTACACATACATTGCGCGCTCACTAGCGTAAATCGTCGTAGATCTTGCACAAAGGAAAGCGAACAATTTCTATCGAACAGTCTTGTTTGGAAATGAACTAACTGTTCAGTGAATAATTTTCCGCTAAAATTTTGAGTGCCCGTACGTAGGAACCACGCATATCTGGGGGTTGAATTTCAAATACTTATGTTTCACACGGATTAGGGATATCCCTTTAAAATTTCAGCGTCCCAACTGTCTGGTCCCCAAGTTAGCAACTTTCTCGCCCAATTTCCCGCCAAAACCATAACATTCTCATACTTGGGGTTCAGACGTGCTTGAAAGTTGGCACAGCGGATCAGGGTAGCACTTGTCCAGAGAACCCACAAGCAAAATTTTTGTGCCAAAGCTCGCTTGGTTGTCGAGTTGAAATACCTAGACAGACGCATTCACACACATACGCACACACATCCACACACATGCATACACAAACATGCATATAAACGTACACCATGGGTCGTTACGATGTGCGTTTTTGCATTTGCATATATGCAAAAAAGCATAAAAATAGGTAGTTTCTGCTGCATTTCTATGCGTTTTTGCTGTGCAACGCTATAGCGCTGCTATAACTAGCAAAAAAGCACATTGTCGAGAGGTCTGTGAGTGTGTGTGTGTGTGTGTGTGTGTGTGTATGTATGTGTGTGTTCAGAAACGAGTGAACTTTGTCACTCACTTTTATCTCAGCAACCAGGAAAGCTGCGAGGCTGAAATTTTGGGTATGTGTTCCTACCCATGTGCCATCCTCCCGTTTTAAAATTTTCGCTCGTACGCCCGCGTACGGACCCCGAAAAAAATATGCAGATTTCTTTGGTGGGAAATGATTTCGCGAACCAGGCAAGGTACAAAGCTAAAACTTTGCAGGGATATTCTATGTGCATGTGCGAGCTAAGGATTTCAAATTCAGCTGTCATGCACGCTTGTGCAGCACGTACGATCACGTCAAAGTTTGCGACTTGGTACTGTGCTAACTCGAAAAATTGTCGGAAACAATGGCTGAAATTTTGTCAACATTTTTATCGCCCGTGCTGGAAATCATCTACCTAAAATGAGTACCGATTTTCACTTGCGCCACAACTTAGGGTGCTTCAAAAGTATCTGTGGCGAAGTGGCTATTTCGCTTGCTGGATGAGGCGCGAGGCTGAAATTACGCTGGGATATTCTTCTTTCAAGTGCGGTCTTAATTCTGCTTGGAAGTGAAATTACCTGCCAATATGCATGAGAAATACTCGACTTTACCGAAAAATCAGAAACGAGTGCGTTTTGCAGCGAACGGCCGCCTTCCTCCTCTCCCAATATGTAAGTGAACTCATTCACACATTTGATTTTTTGATGAACGACAGTTCTAGCAACATTTCCATTTTTCAGTGAACTGAAAATTTGCATTTTTTCGAAGAGCGAGCATTTACCAGAAAAGCGACCGGGCTCATGCAAAAAACTGATAATCATGTACCTGGAGGTCCATGCGGCCCTGTAACGCAACACTTTTATCCCAACTGACGCCCTTCCTCCTGCATGCCAGAAGGGCCCA